AACTGAGAGAAGCCCTGCTAAACAACAACATTGCACGATTAGCCATTCCGAAGCTGGCGTGTGGACTCGATGGTTTGAGTTGGCGTACAATCCGGAACATGATTGAAGTCTTGTTCAGATTTACGGGAATCGAGATCCTCGTTTGCTGCTACAACCCAAAGCTGAGATCGGGAGAGAAAACTGTAGACTGCTATTTCTACCAGACTTCGCAATGTACCAGGGGCCAGCTTTGCAAATACCTTCATTCACCGTATAATCTCGGGACGAGCATGTGCCTAAGAAGGGGGCAGTGTTGCGGGCCGGTGTGGACTCGACCTAACCTCACAATATGGCCCGCCCTCGGATGACCTTAACATCGCATAGACACCGCAATGATTCATTCGTTCGAGAAGAATCGAGTCCCACTGGAATGGACGAGTACATACGAGAACATTCGAAAACCTTCTCTACGCACCTAACGATCTATGGACAATTCTAGAGTTCTTTACCTGCCGGTATAAAAGCCGGCGGCCGTGGCCTACAGGGGGCAGTTATAAATATACCAGTGCAGTTGAGGCGCTAAAATTCAAAATAAATTCTTAGTTATAAATCGTTTGTAAATAGTTCTATAAGTCTTTTATCGTTATTGTTTTTGTTAATTAGTGTTAAATAAATAGTGTTTAAATAAATTGTGACTTTCTATCCACACGGAACCGAGGAAAAACGTAACAGTATTAACGGAATTTAATTACGTCGGCAGTTTGATTTCGAAAAAGACCAATATCGACTCTGAAATTCAGCATAGGATTAGCAGCGCCTCCAGAGCATTCTGGAAATTAAAAGACAGGGTTTTCTACAATCATGACTTGAGCACAAAAACGACAGTTGCAGTGTACCGAGCAATAATAATTCCCACCATGTTATATGGAAGCGAAACCTGGGTGCCCTACCGCCGACACATGAACGCATTAAACAAGTTGCAACAGAGACACAGACAACTCTTAAGAATCAAATGGTTCCATCATGTCTCAAACGTATCGGTCCTTGAAAAAGCTAATTGCGAGAGCATTGAAGTCATGATTACAAAGTCCCGCTTAAGATGGGCTGGTCACGTATGCAGAATGCAAGAAAACCGCATACCAAAATCTCTGCTTTACGGTGAGCTTGTAGACAGTAAAAGGCCGGGTGGACAACTTAAAAAGTTCAAAGATATTTTCCACGAAAACTTAAAGGGAATTAACAAGCAGAATGAGTGGGAAGGGGCAGCTCACAATAGAACGGAATGGAGAAGAATTGTAAAGTCAGTTAACAGCTACAACCAAAAAGTAAAGAGGCAACAAAGCAATGAGATTTTTGAATGTCTGGAGTGCGGTAGACAGATAACATCACGTATCGGGCTTTTCAGTCACAGAAAAGCTCATGAAAGAAAACACCTTGCGTGACCATCTTCTGATGCGTGTCAAATACTCGTCAGTGAGTAATGGCGACTGACTGACTTTCCTGGATAAAAGAAGGATTGCCCATAACTGCATAAGAAAATATTAAATTGCTGTTTTTATTTTGTTTTGGATTGTTTTGGATTTATTTTATCAATAAAATTATTATTTTTTTTGCCAAAAATACACTCAGATGCAAAAAAACGCAACAGAGAAATTTTTGATCAAATTTAAAGTGTTATATTTTTGTTATTTTTAGCCCTATTTTCACGAATTTTTTTAGTAAGGTGTATATAATTATATCAACTTTAATTCGTAAACTCAGTTTTTTATAAACTATAGTATTTGGCATATTATACAGGGTTAATGGAGGGGTTGTTTTTTTACCCTAACTTTAAAACACCCTGTGCAAAAATTTCGTGTGTAAATTTTCCTAAAATATAATCTTACGGTCAGAACCATGACTTCTTAGCATTTCCTTTTTTGATTAATATCAATACATGCTTTGATTAATTTTTAAAAGCGAAATGAACTGATCACGATCAATTAGGTTTTTTTTTCAATTATCATTAGTTTTTAATAATATAATTTTTTAATATGACGAGATGGTTTTGTGACTGTTGTAGTAACGTCATATTACGCCGGTATTAGATACTCTATACTGAATTAAAAAAAACGTTAAAGACTAACGATACAGTATACAGCCCTTGTTTTAATAAGCATTAATAACAATAACAGAACCAACGATATTAAAGGAAACATCTGTAATACTAAAGTATACAAACAGAAAAAATAATTGTAACAAATACCCTACTACCTTGTATTGCCTCCCTTGGATGCTATAATTGCCTGTATATATCCGTTCATACTGTCATTGACGCTGCATAGGTATATCATATTGCGTTATGTTTTCCTATTCTTCTTTAAGGACCAAGCGAAGTTCATTTAATGAAGCTGTTATCGCTTCGCGACCTCTAATCCTCCTACCAAGCATTTCCCAAACGTCGTACCGGGTGGCCAACTAAGAATGGACGCCGGCTGTATCTCAAAAACTACTTATCGTATAACTTTGGGAAAAAAATTCTAATAAGTAAATCGACCAAGAAAAATCACTGGAAATTATTTTCAAGTTCGAAAAATGCCCGCTAGGGGGCGTTTCTCTAATAGCCAATCAGAAAACAGGGTTTTTCTCAAAAATATGCAGGTGAACAGGTATTTTAAATATTACTGTTGTAATCATCGAGAAATTTATAATTTTTTTTATATAGAGTAATTTGCTCTATCTCATAAAATAACGTGGTGGGGGGAGGTTAAACTTGCTTTTATTAAAATAAGGATAACTTTGGTTTGGGTTATGCTATTTAAACAAACTAGGGCTCGTTTAAAAGAGATTTTCTTCCTTAATGATCTCCAGTATAAATTTTGTTTCCACAATTTTTTTCGTAGTAGCTAGAAGGCGCTGTTTGACATCATAACAGATATTGCGCTTTTGCGCAAAAAAATTAAATAGGAGGCTATATTTCTCTTTGCACAGTTAAATAGAGCACAACATTTTCAAAATATCAGCGCAAACCGCAACTTTCTATCTTCTCTCTAACCTGAGATATTAAGAGAACAAATCATGTTAGGCTTCTGCTTAGGATTATATGGTCTAAAAATTATCGTAGTAGGCTAGGAAACAAAAAGAGGTAAATTGGTTACGTCAAAATATCAAAACATATATTTTACTTTCATTTTAATACTATTTAATCCATGTTCATTCTTGATTCGATTCCATAAATTAAAACCCAGGCATACTGAATCCGATGACCTAGATAATGTAATGTAATGCATGGAAATATGCCGCCCCAGCGTCGCTGTCTACTAAAGTAAGTGGTATCCAAGAAGCCCCACACGTTCATAGCAAAATAAGCGGCACCACTGTCTCAACTACACCAACTGCATTCATGCTGATGAATTTGCAACAAATGCAATTTCATCATGATGGATCCCCTAACAAATTTGGCAATTCATTTCTTAGAAATTATGGATAGTTCATTTCATTCAGATAATTAAAAAAGTCCAGTCATTCGCCATTCTAGAATTTCTGCGTAAACATTTACCGACCAACGGTCTTGGTACTAAATTACTTGCATCGAGGGTAGATTTAGACCAGTAGTGCATTAATTGTTAAGATATTGTTAAGATACCTTCCTTCGGTGCTATATGAAAAGTGACCCAAACGACATAAACTTTATGATATAATAATAAATAACACAAAAAACAGGTAAAACACGAAAACAAGTAAAATCAATGACGAACTTGGATTAATAACTAAATGACGTTACGTGAAATAAACCCCTAGTTTTCGACCATACGAAATTCGGCAGTTTTCTGGCGGCACAAAATTCCTAGAAATTTTAATAAAATTATTGATTGTCCGACTTTCGGACATTTTAATCTGAGAACTACTTACGTATAATTAGAAATTCGTAAAAATTTTATGTATGGATGATAATGTTACATAAACCCGTTTAAATAATTATGATGTCATTTTTTAAGAATACACCCGAAATTCGGATGTATGAAAACTGAACTTAAACGATTGGATATTTTGACGTAACCAATTTACCTCTTTCTGTTTCCTAGCCTACTACTATAATTTTTAGACCATAAAGCAGCAGCCTAATATGATTTGTTCTCTTAATATCTCCGGTTAGAGGGAAGATAGAAAGTTGCGGTTTGCGCTGAAATTTTGGAAATTTTGTGCTCTATTTAACTGTGTAAAGGGAAATATAGCCTCTTATTTATTTTTTTTGCGCCAAATGCAATATCTGTTATGATGTCAAACAGCGCCCTCTAGCTACCACGAAAAAAATTGTGGAAACAAAATTTATACTGGAGATCATTAAGGAAGAAAGCTCTTTTAAACGAGCCCTAGTTTGTTTAAATCGAGTAACTCAAACAAGGGTTATCCTTATTTTAATAAAAGCAAGTTTAACTTTCCCCCACCACTTTATTTTATAAGATAGAGCAAAATACTTTGTATCGAAAAAAATACAAATTTATCGATGATTACAGCAGTAATATTTAAAATACCTGTTCACCTGCATATTTTTGAGAAAACTCCTGTTTTCTGGTTAGCTGTTAGAGAAACGCCCTCTAGCGGGCATTTTTCGAACTTGAAAATCATTTCCAGCGATTTCTCTTGGCCGGTTTACTTTTTAGAATTTTTTACCCAAAGTTATACGATAAGTAGTTTCTGAGATACAGCCGGCGTCCATTCTTAGTTGGCCACCAGGTACATGATGGGCAGTTCATAGTAGTATATTCATAATAATCACCAAAGTGGCCTTGTTATATTAAAAAATCACTTAAAAATTGCAAATTGTTAGTGGCAAGTTCATTTCGCTCATAAAAATTAACGAAGGCAAGTATTGACATGCTCCAAAAAACAAAATACTCAGGAGACATGGTTCTGACCGTAAAATTATATTTTAGAAAAATTTACTTACGATATTATTGCACAGGGTGCACTTTAAATTTGATTAAAACTTTTTCCGTTGCGTTTTTTTGCATCTGAGTGTAGAAAAATGTCATACTTACCTAAGTCCTTGGTTTCTGGTAGAACACTCGGTAAATTAAACGATTGTTGTATGTTAAACAAATCCTTTTTCGTAATCAGATGAATTCGTTTGAGTTCTTCACTGGAAATCGTCTGTCTAATATCGTCCAGAATGATATCAAACGGAATTTTTGCAGCTATCTTCATGGCCAAATAATTATTTTCTTCTCTAGTTAACTGTAGATGTCGTAACTCTAATTCGTGCCCGATGTGCGTTTCTATATACGAAACGTCAATTTTCTCCGCACTGTGTTCAGTTTTTTTAATGCTAGCAGGGCAATAAGCGTTTATTTTACAGGAACCTTGGGTTTTGAGACGTCTGAGTCCTTTACCTTCGGGTCGATAATTTCCCGATCGGTGACACGCGTAATATATCACTGTCTTGCCTTTTAATTTTTCAATCTTTTCAACAACAAACTTCGAGTTGTTGTTACATTCAGTCTCACATTTCCACTCATCGAATTGTTGTTGGGAGAAGAACTCGATTTGCTGGCGGACGATTTGAACATTGTGTGATGTTTTAAAATGTTCGATTAACTGTTCTTTCCTGGCAACAGAATAATCGCACATGGGGCATTTAGTTGATTTTCTTCGTATTCTTTTGCTGTCTCCACAAGTTGTTACTTCGTTATGGGTTGTGTTTATTTCGTTACTTTCCTCATTACTACAAAATGATTAAAAATGTAAAATTATTTCATAAGCAACTATCCTCTAATTAGGGATGAAAAGGCACAATTACTCAAAATCTTGCACAGGGTGTCCAATTTTTGTTGAAATAATACGGTATCTCCGTTATTAGTGAAGATAGCAGGGTGCGGTTTGTACAAACCTGTCCCACTTTTTTGTTAAACGGAAGATGCTGTAAATAAAATTTTCATAGAATCTTCGTTTCTGAGCTACAGTGTTTTTTGAAATTTTTGCTATTTGGTACACCACCTGTATCTCTGTTATTCTTCAAGGTAACGAGAAGGTGAACATTTTTCCTGCAATATTTAAAAGTTTTTATTAAAAGCTCATATTTATTAGGAGGTCATGATTGATAATAAAAGAAACTAAAGAATTATTAAAAGTATACTACCTATCTGTCTCTTGTTTTATTTCGGGAGCAACTAATAAATTCTTTATATATTAGAGAAAATTAACTCTCTGCCGCTATTTGTAAATCTTGGAAGCTATCGTACCGGAACTTTTAGCTATTCCTTTAACTAATTTATGTGAAATATACTTTCAGCAAGATGGGGCTCCCCTTCACAACTTATCTCAATGAATTGGAACCAATGGACCCATATGATGGCCTCCCCGATTCCCGGATTTATCCGTTCTCGATTTCCGATTTTGGGTTTTTCGAAATATGAAATATATCGTGGTAACTACAAAAATGTCGAACACCTGGAAAAAGCTTTAATAATGCAAGCTTTTAGATTTTTGGAAACACATCCGGTTATAATAAATTCCGTTATAAAAAAAAAGAAAAATATACTCAGAGATTCAGTGGTAACAGTTCAAAAGTAAAATATATCAATCCCAAATAAAATGTTAATATGTGTATGACTATTTTACTAAATACCATTTTGATTTTTTCGTTATTTATCACGACCTATTAATAAGAAAATGATATATTTTAAATGTTGCAGTAAATAGTGAAAATAAACATAGAGTGGTATATATTTTTGAGAAGCTCATAGCAAGACGGATCATGTGATTTATAAATATACAGGGTGTTCCATTTGAAAAAACATAACTTTAGTTCATATTTTCGAAAATATTTTATTCGTAGAAAAACAAAGTACGCAATTGTATTCTAGATAAGAAGTTCTACAAGAATCAGTTTTCACCTTCTCGATATCGTCCACAATAACGGAGATACAGGGACTGTCCCAAATTGCAAAATTTTCGAAAAGCCCCTGTAGCTCAGAAACGAAAAGAGCTATGAAAATTTTATTTACAGCATCTTCCGTTTGACAAAAAAGTGGGATAGGTTGGTGCAAACCGCATCCTCCTATCTTTACTAATAACGGAGATACCGTATGATTTCTACCAAAATGGGACACCATATACCATGTTATCATTTTAGTTTGACCCACTTTTAAAAGCTTATAACTTTTTTGTTTGTTGGGTTAAAGCAGTCATTCAAAAAACATGTTGTAGCAGTTTCAGCCAAGTTTTTGCGAGTGTTGTCAAAAATGACAGTAGGTGTCACATGTCAGATTTTTAAAACTAAAAAAAACTTTTTAAATGGGACATCCTGTATATTAGTAGCGCATTAGATAGTCTCCTTTTCTCCGAATTCAAAAATGTATCACACATTAACATTATAAACGTCATATTGTGAAAATATTTCGAAAATGCATTGAAAAAGAAGGTGGTCATACAGAGCAATATAGATTATGAAAATGAATAACATATAACTGTTTTTAATTCTATAACTAGTTATTGTTCTTGTGATATGTTATTGTTATTGTTATATCAGTATTAATAAATTTGTTCATACCGATGTAACGCCATATTAGAACAGTTATTTTTTAGTGTCCGAACATCATTCCAAAAATAGAAAACAATGATTCCCCCTGTTATTTAAATGGGAAATAGAAAATCACGATAAGACGCCTCTTAATATTAATATTAAGAGCTCAAACTTTATCAGCATTTTTTTTTTCATTATCCTGAACGATATTTTCACGGTAACTAAAAAGAAAAAAAATATTTATTTTGTTGCACCCTGCTGTACAGGGTGGTCGAAATTGGTCTGTTTTAACAGAGAAAACCTATTTCCTGACTAGATAGAGCAAAACCGACATAGATGTCATGGGCTCGATTTCTGAGAAACTTTTAATGGCGTAAACCGCCTGTTGATATTTTCACTGCCAACTGAGATACGGGGTCTTTTTGAATTTTTTACCATTTGAAAAATTGCCCATAACTTTTGTATTTCGCGGACTAATAAAATTCTGTAAAAACGTTCTTAAGGCACTTTTTTAAGCACAATCCAGTGGCGGACTCAGTTTTCTTCTATACTTGCTCTTTTTGACAGAAATAATAAAAAACCTAATTTTTTAAAAGGAAATCATAGTTGGCTACGAACTTAAAAAAATGCTGGCGTTTAACCCTTTCCAACGATATATAGTTATGTGTATTTATTTCTAAGAATGAGAGAAATATTAGGTTATTTATCTTTGTATCGAAGCGGGCCTTGGTTTTGTGTTGACCTATTGCCTAATTATTTTTTATCACAATTTAATATTTTATGTTATTATTTATCTGCATAATTAAAAACCTTTGAAAGGGTAAATCAACATTCTATATTAGTATTACCAGTTACAATTAAAACGCCAGGGTTACAACTGAACTATTAAATGGAGAATTGGGTTGGAACAAGGTGCCTGCTCTTGGCCTGCTAGGTCCTGCGATTTAACTCCTTTCGACTTTTTTATGGGTTTTTATGATTGTGCTTAAAAAAGTGCCTTAAGAACGTTTTTACAGAATTATATTATTCCGCGAAATACAAAAGTTATAGGCAATTTTCCAAATGGTTAAAAATTCAAAAAGATCCTGTATCTCAGTTGGCAGTGAAAATATCAACAGGCGGTTTACGCCATTAAACGTATCTCGGAAATCAAGCCCATGACATCTATGTCGGTTTTGCTCTATCTAGTCAGGAAATAGGTTTTCTCTGTTAAAACAGACCAATTTCGACCACCCTGTACATTGATATAAGTGTGAGTAATAATTGTGCCTTTTCATTTCCTCACTAGAGGATAGTTGCCTCGATAGTTACTAAAATGTTTGTTTCTTGTAACTTATACAGCTGTTTTTCTTTAACAATGATTTGACAATACTTGAACATGATACAATAAATAAAACATAATAATATGATATTTGGTTCATGTTTCTGTATAGAAAGATTTGTTATTTCTTTGCTAAATATCTGTATATCATATCTCGTTCTTATTTATTTTATCCTGATACTTGTGATATTGAGATATTTACCGTTCGTCGCATTCTTCTTTACATCGAAATTCACCATGACAAGTTTTCATGTGATGGTTGAAGTTTTTCTTGTAACTAAAATTTCTCGTACAAATAGAACAAGAATAATTGTATACTTGGCTGTCTGTTTTCTTCATCGGTGCCAAAACATCAACACTCTGCGGATGAACTTTCCTTACGTGTCTTCTCAAGTTAAATATGTTCGAATAGTTCAAATTACATTCCAAACAACCATGTTGTGTTTGACGCTCGTCTTGTTGGGGCTCCATTTTTAGGTTAGGTTAAGTACTATTTTAAATACATACTTACTATACACTGTATTTAAGACTGCAGAAATTATACCAAATAGGAATTGAACACAAAATAGGTACACAACTATCTATTTAAAAATTCTATATATTATATTACTTGTTGACAGTAGATGATAATTTTGTATTTACATCTGTCAGCTGTTGGCAGTTGTTTGGTTGTGTTTGTTGAGGTTGTACTGAATTAGTGAAAAATGTACTGAATTGGGAAAAAATGTACCACATTTTAAAGGCGCCTTACTTTGCTATCTATAAATAATATAATATTATATTTAATATTATTCTTTTTGGATGAAGTTTGGAATAGTTCTCTTTGGACAATAGACATTTATATATTTTATATATACATGCGAATCTCATCTCTGATCTCATTGTAATTCTATAAATATTTACATGGTAACAGCAGGAGAGTTTTAAGTTTTATTTATACGCTTGGTGCATTCTCCGCCGGTGCTGCCACCATCGGAGAATATCGTAAGCAACCGATATATACAAATACACGGGTTGAAATAGCGAGTGTACTAAAAATTTGTTATATAAATATTTTTTGTGTATAATATTACAAATATACTTAATTTGTGCAAATTCTAAAAATAAGAATAAAAGAGTAAATATTTTGATGTTTTCAGAAGGTCTAACGTATTATAATTTATTATTCAAGCTAGTTAAGCGAGTTCAACTAGCGATTTTGCTAGCGGAGATATAACTAGGGCTATTTCGGTTATAACCAATTTTTTAAAGGTACATAATTATAATTTTAGATGTTCATAAAAAATTTAAGCACTAGTTGATTCAACCAAGTATACCATTAATGCTGCAAATTATAATTTATCCTCTCATAGTATACCGGGTGCGTCTCCAAAGTGGGTCATCCCTATAACTCTTTTTTAGATAAACAAACGAGATTTGGTATGTTAATATATGACATAAATTAGAATTGATTGACGTATTCAATTGTTTTCGGTCACTTCCTGATTCACCGGAAATGACTACAACTTTTGATTTTTAAATTTAACGAAAAAAAAAATAAAAAAGTTATAGGGGTGAGCCATTTTTGAGACGCACCCGGTATACCTATTTAATTTTTCGATTATGTAATGAGCACTTTGTTTCGTCGAGCTACTTTAATTCATGTTTGTTTTTGATCAAATCTTTATAATATGTTGAACAAATATATTTTCAAATTTTGCTTATTCTTAAATAAATGGCAAATATGGCAAAAGTTTTAAAATATCTCTAGTCACCAGTTCTCAATAAATGAGATAATTCCTCAATAATTTATCCTAATATCAATTAACATTTCTGATTAATTCTGGATTCATTCACATTGAAATAATATTGTTTGTTATTTATAACTGTTTTGATTTCTTTCACTCTTTCGCTGTACGAAATGCGACGTGATGAAGGACCTAGTGTTTTGTACTATTTACTTTGTTTAATGAGATCGAAAAGTGAAAATTGGTTAAATGAACTAATTTAAAATAAACACAAAGAACTAAACTTCCCAGCTCTACCGCTAAAATCTAAATTGAGAAAACGCGATAACTAGCGGGAATAACCGCTAATTTAACAACACCTCTCACAACACTGGCCTCGCTATGAATTTTACATTTGATACTGTCAAAATGACTGTGACAGATAAACAAACACTTTAATTATGTGTCACAGGTACTTTATGATTTTATTTTGAATTAAACTTTACCGGGACAGCGCGGACGCAGTCCCGACTACCAAAAATTGCGCGCCCGAGTTATCCGCATTAGGGATAATCGCAGGGGTCAAGCCAACCTCAGTGCAATGGAGGGCCCTCGCCCTGGGGGAACCGCCTTCATGATCACGGTAACCCCTACGCCAAGTAAGTATGCAAACAGGGCGTCGTAATTTGGCTTCATTTTGCGCCACAATAAAGGTGTAGTTAGTTTTAACGTTTGGCGACATCTATTAGGCATCTGTTAAATTAGCATTAGATGTTTAAAGAAAGGTTGTTGTTTTTGTTCGGTTGCATAAAACCAAACTTCATAAATCTATGGTTGCATACAGAACGCTGCGAATTGTTCTATTTAGTATATTATTATATTATTAACATATTATCTATAATTTTTGATGTGTTGCTGTAAATAATGTCACAAATAAAAAATATTTATTTTTTGATAGTATTTTTTTCTTTTACCGCAATATCCTTTAACCAATATATGTAGGTACGTATACACTTTTTACAATTTGAACATTTTTTGTATAATCAAAGGGTTTATTCCTAAGTGTGAAAACACGGGGAATAATTCCAATTGCTTATGATAATTATCCAAACATGTCATATTATATAATGTAATATAATCTTTGTATAGTCTGTTCAATGAGGTGACCTGTCATTTTAATGCACAAGAAAATTGTATTTTCCGTCATTTTTGAATGCGATGTCGAAATCTTTCCTGATTCGTTTGGCAGACTTATATATCATTGTTGCTAGTTATTAAGTTATTATATTAGATGTATTTATATTTATTCATCGTAGCTATTTTACCAACAGAACCATCGTACAATATGATCAAGCAGTTTTATGATAAAGCATGTTTTCTATGACTTAGAAATTAGAAAGAATTCTTATGTACTTTAGAGTTATTGTATTTCCACCGTCTAAGTCACAGCCCGCTTAATCATAAAACTTTTTCGTTTACTGTATTTTCTTTTTACTTTAGCATTTAATTCTATGTATGGTTAAAATTAATAATTTTACTTTTTATGTTTATGTCATAAAATAATGCTTTTATGAAGGTACAATAAAACCTAAGTAATTAAAGTTTGTAACATGGTAATCAGATAATAACTCATTGCTTTTAAGTGTGTAGCATATTATAAAGGCTGTGGACGATAATATAATTAACTGGCAACGTCCAGAGTCCAGAGCTAGCTGAACCATGCTGCAGGTTGATTATAGTGATTATGGTTTTTATTATTATTATTATATGTATAATAGTATTTTATTATAAACTAAGGTTGTAAGTTATAACCTTGCAACTGCCAAGGCGTTATTTTTTTAAAGGTGATTAAGCTTTGTAAATCGTAATAAGTTAAACCAAAAACATTAAACTTTATTGTAAAATATTAGTAATTAAACTAATTTTAGGTAATTTAGTTTTAGTGAATAATTACTAAAAGTAGTTTTGACCTAGTGAGATTTACCAGATTTACTAACAATTAGGAGTGTAGTAAAAAATGCCATTCCCTGGAAAATTGGGTTTACACAAGGGATTACAAACAAAATAGAGAAGAATGAAAAGAAGCTCCTGTCCTACCTGAACTACGTCAATTTTCAATCGGAAAATAACGGGGAAGGACGAAGCATGGGGAAAGACTCAATTCTAGAGGTGGGCCAGTCTGCGATTTTTGTGGAGCTGCTACGCTCTGCGACTGCTCCAATAAAAGCACTGTGACAAGTAGCAGCGATTTTTCGGAGCAATTAACCTATAAATTAAAAATGTAGTTTTATAGGTTAATTGCTCCGAAAAATCGCACTCGGTGTTCGGCACCGTTCGTTCATTTACTTAAAAAAGTACAGGACTGGTGTGATTATGATAGGCAACATCATCGTTTAGTTTTTATTTATTTATATCGTATGATCGAAAAAAACGGCGTCAGCGATAGCTATGAGATGAAGATTGCTGGCATTTTATATGTAAAATTTATGGGGAATATTATCGATTGTCATTTCCAAGCCAACTGGACGCCGTTTTTTATTTAGATCAGTAGTGGCGATTTTAACGTCTGTGCAATCGGGGTAAGCAAGCCTCCCGGACCCTTACGAACAAGATTCGAACTTTTCCGAACTACGGGCCCCTAGAGCTCTTTAAAATCGCGGCTGTACGATACTATACTATAGGAATATATTTCAGATATTACGTCTATTACGAAAATGAATATATTGATTTTTCTTTTGTCTTAGTTTGATAGATGTTGCTATATTTTTTTAGTCCATTCAGAAGAATTTGAGTGTTTCTAACTGGTTTCTAAGTACCAAGCACTTTGCTATAAATATCTTAAAGAGTCTGTTCATTTTCACATAGTGGTGGCCCATGGTAAAAACTTAATGTTATATTCAATTCAAAGTCGAAACTGTCAAAAAATTCTTTATTAGTGACCGGTTTCGACTATTTAGCCATCATCAGACCTTAAAAATAGATATAAATAATAAAACTTACATGAATGTATAAGATCAAATAAAAGATTTAGGATATACAACAAAACACAGATACATACCAAATTAACTAACAAATAAACATACTAACAAATTAAAATTACCTTTGTCAAAAACATCTGTTTGTGATTAATATATAATACATAAATATCTTATTTAGATTCATGAAAGAAAAAGCGAACGCTGCTACGTTTCCTGTTCCCAAACTCCCAACAGCTCCAGTCCACAGAATATACTCAATATACTATGCTCCAGTCGACTGCGACCTGCGACGACTGTGACTGGAACAGTCTGACCGGGCGACGGGGCTAGGAGCAGTTTCAGAATTTACACTATTGTCTGCTATTGCTCCTATTGCTACTCACGAGCGCAGATGTCCTAAACTTGTAAACTGCTCCGAAATGTCACTGCGATTTTCTTGTAACTGGAGCAGTCACATACTGCGACGTTGGTGGAGCTGTGACAAAGTAGCGGACTGCGATTTCACAACCCACCTCTACTCAATTCACTCAATCCTTACTGATTACAGTGATTACACGTCCTTACACAGACATTAGGACTTTCTATGTCTACTCTCTACGCATTAGGAGTTAGGAGATTTATGTAGAAGTAGAAGAATTTAATTTTAATTTGTCTTATCCGGGACAGCGCGTACGCAGTCCCGACTACCAAAAATTACGCGCCCGAGTTATCCGCATTAGGGATAATCGCAGGGGTCAGCCCAGCCGTAGTGCAATGGGAGGGCCTCACCCTGGAGGAACCGCCTTATTGATCACGGTAACCTCTACGCCAGGTAAGTATGCTTTTCGGCCGTCTCCATTTTCGTCTTCAATTGGAGGTCTAACTTACTGACGGCGAGTTGCAGGCCCCTAGCGACACCTACCGATACCCTCTGCAACTTAAGTTTCACGATTTACCCTCGTTTCATAAGGATTTACGTAAAATTCGTTTGTTTAGTGATAATATTACGTAAGTTAGAGTTAAGTTAATGGAAGACCAGTGACTGTTTCTTAAATAAACGACAATTTTTATGGTCCTTCGAGCAGGCGAGTTATAGATATCTATTCGGGTTTTGATGCAAGGTTGATAGATGGCGTGCCGATCGTTGAAGGAACGCAAATTTTTACGAACGAGGGGCCACTTTTCGTCTGTTTCGTGAGTCGTTTGAAAAAATGGCGAATAGTCGACGTCATTGCGGCGTTTATTTTAGCATACGAAGGTGTGTCTAAATTCAGCACACTTTTTCCTCGGTTGTCAATTGAGAGGAAAATGTCTTGACTAAATATTTGCCGGTAAGTGACGGACTTGGGCCCGTGATAGATGTCGCACTTGATGCCTTAGAAAAACACCACCAGCATGCAGCAAAAGCTTAAATGTAGTCATTTTAGTATAGATTCTAGTTGCTAAATAAAACAAAATCTCGTATCTTGATTGTTTTGGTTTTTAAACTTCTGTCAAGAAGATCAATAAATTGATAATCTGATTGGTTAGTCAGACAGGCGTTTACGTAACTACCGTTTTAAATAAATCAAAAACAACGTCAAGTATTTAATGTTACATATACATCATTGCAATAAGCTTTTCTCAGCAGCTCGTGTTTGAATACTATTAATTCAAATTGATCTAGTTGAGCATCGTCATCTATATTACACACATGTGTGTACGCCTATAAAACAAGGTCGAATTGTAATAGACGAAAATGTTATATCAAGCCCTAATCTTATTAATGGATACGTAGATATTAACGACAATTGCGAAGCATCAGTTAATTGGATAAGTTAGATAAATTGTGGCTAGGAATGTTCTGTAACTAGCTGTGTGCCAAGTTCAAAGGTTACCGACCTACGGCATTCGTATTTTTTCAAGCTTAGGTAGGCTGTAGTTAATACAAAGGGAGGACAGAGAATAGAGCTATCGATGTGACACATTGTTGCTAAAAAAATATAATTATTATACCGGGTGAAAAATTCAATTGTTGGAATTGAAATACCAACTAGAAAAGTTTTAAATAAGATGCCTCTTAATTTTTTGAAAAGCAATAACTTTTTTCACTTATTATTTTACACTTTATGTTTATCACGTAACAAACTATAAATAAATGAAACAACTAAAATTACTAGATGCCCAGGCGTCTTATTTTTATCAAACATCTAATGTTATCGTTTAATTTTTTATAATGTTCGACGTTTAATTTAAGTTTTCTAGTTTTTTTTTCATCTTCTGTGGTATTTAAGATTTTTTTTAACGAAGATTCAGTTAATGAACGATGAACCGTTTTGCTTATCCGCCATTTTTTAAAAGGTACCACAGACCATTTGATTCGAGTCATCACGTGAACTATTGGATTTTATATTTATATATTATTGTTGCGGGCCGGTGTGGACTCGACCTAACCTCACAATATGGCCCGCCCTCGGATGACCTTAACATCGCATAGACACCGCAATGATTCATTCGTTCGAGAAGAATCGAGTCCCACTGGAATGGACGAGTACATACGAGAACATTCGAAAACCTTCTCTACGCACCTAACGATCTATGGACAATTCTAGAGTTCTTTACCTGCCGGTATAAAGCCGGCGGCCGTGGCCTACAGGGGGCAGTTATAAATATACAGTTGACGCGCTAAAATTCAAAATAAATTCTTAGTTATAAATCGTTTGTAAATAGT